ATATTATTTATTTAATATATTTAATAATATTATTTATTTAATATATTATTACATGTTTTCAAAAATTAAACCACCAAACACAGTTTCAGTTTTTTTTTAAACTGAAATCAATCTCTAAATAAAACTACCAAATGCATTTTTAAAAATAATTCAAAAATAAAAATAAAAACGTTTTCATTTCTATTTTTGTACAGAAAACAAAAACATTTTGGAATCAATTCCAAACGCACCCAATGTATAAAAAAAAAATTTTATAAAAAAATAAAAAATAAAAATATAGATCTATACGCTCCGGGTAAGTTCAATAATTTTCGAAACTAGCATTTTGGGCTTTGTTTTCATATTAAGCCCAGTTCTAATGGCTCAGTAAGGTGGGCTGCGTTGACATGGGCCAACTCTGACAAGTGGTAATGGGTTTAACCTGCAAGGCATGGGTTCCAACTTGTCCTGGACCACCCAAAATCTGCCTAACCCAATGTCAGTATATAGTCCAATCCAAAACACAGACAAACAACTTGCATAATCAGATCCTATCTTTGTGCATCACGAATTTTTAGGCGCCTGACTCAAAGAAATAGGAATGAGCCGACTCAACTCGCATTTGTGTTTACAAATGTCATTAGAATTTACTGGTAGATCCGCTCTATAGTCAGGAATAAATTTCATTAAAATTTACTGGTAGAGTCGCGCTATAGTCGGGAATAAATTTTTTGGCCGCATTTTGACACTCATTTTAAAATGATTTTATTTTATTTTTGTATGAGAATGAAAATGAAAATGTTTTCAATTTTAGACAGAAATCATTTTTAAAAATACATTTAGTAGTAACCTATTAATGTCGCTCTATCTGTTCGAGAGAGGAGAAAACGAAAATAAAAAATGAAAAATGACTAAAAGTCATTTTTCATTTCTCTCTCATTTTACACTAAACCAAAAAATCATTTTTATTTTTGTTTTTTTATTTTTATCACGCCAAACACTATTTTAAAAACGTTTTAATTTTTTTCTTGAAAAACATAAAAAACAAAAACATGATCAATTTCAAACATGGCTTTATATTTGAAATCATGAGTTTGTATTAGTGTGTGCACTGCTTTAATGTAGAATACAATTGTCTTTTACCTTTCAAAAGAAATTTATCCGAGAATTATTTCTTAAGGTAAAGAAGAACCCTTCAATAGATTAGTTTTTGAAATGCTAAAAAAATCATCAGTAATTACAATTGAACATTATTTTAGCCATTAGTTATTAATAATTGAGCAATATAATTTTGAAACTAAAAAAAGAGAACGACTTATCTAGTGAAGCTACTAAAAATTTTTATCTTCAAAATTAATTTTATCTCTATCTCAAAACTTATGTGACTTCTATTTTAAGATGCTTTGGGTATGTTTGTTTCACAACTCAAGTTAAGAATTTGAGTTGTGTATGTGAGAGAAAAACATTATAACAAAAAAGTTAAATTTAAATTTTTGTGAGAAAAAATATTGTAGCAATAAAAATTGAGTTGTAACTTAAATTGTGAAATGAACTAAGCCTTTTTTGCCATTTAAACATGCCACAACTAGTCCCTGATTTTATAAATCATCTCATTAAATTCATGTTAAGAAACCATTAAAAAGTAGATAAAATAATTGTGTGACAGTCATATGATAGTAGTGTAGATGCCCATATTAAAGTTTCGCATGATTATCACTTATTATTTCTCATCTACTCTTCAATTGATTTTCATGGAAGGATTTTAATGAGATGAGTTTAGATATCAGGGACTAATCATGCACGTTTTAAGAGACCAAAACAAGATTCGCTCTTAAAGTTCATGGACCAAAAATGAGATTAATTTCTATCTTTATGCAAAATTGTTTAACTTAATTAAATAGTATTTACTATCTTATTCATCTATATGAACATAACTATTTTTTTTTTTAATGAACTCTTGGATTGTCCACAAGCATTTTAGAGTGTATCAATTATTGAAGTTGGTTTAACACCTTATAAATTTTTTATGTATTTTAGAACAAGGCAAGGTTGTCAATACAAGCTAGGTGCTAAAATCACAATAAAAAACATATTCAAATATTGTTCATACCCATCTTTCAGTTACTCTATTTTCGCTATTTTTACTTGATTTTCTTAGGCCCATGCCTCATTATCAAAACGATGCAACACCCATATATGATATAACCATCTTTTTGTTGTTTTCCTGAATTCTTTAAATAAAAAGAATCTGTTAAAAAAATACTTTAGGAATCATTTTTAGTAAAAATACTCCTAAAAATCAACTAACTTATGAAGGAATCTCTACCCACTATCACACAAAAAAAAAAAAAAAAAAAAAAAAAAAAAAATCTCAACAAATTACACATATATATGTTGCTACAATTGAGTAACAGAAAGAATTGCTACCGACTCTTGAGTATTGAGAATTCAATCTATATCCAAATTCCAAACTATCTTCCATCTAATCAGTCCAACAAACTTGAGCCACACATCAATGATTGCATCACATATTCCACATCCAGTCCAAAAAGCCTCCTGTTTTTCTGCTTTGGTCCCCCTTGTTTTCTTTCACTTTTTAAACAGAATTAAATACTTTAAAAGACATGCTCACCAAAAGTATTGTTTGGAATGATAATAGTTTGTTTTTCTTGCCCGGTTGAAGGTATCCCATATTAAGAATTTAATGGTTTTTTGTTCAACATAATGTAATATACTTTGGGAAAGAGAAAGCATTGTATTTTATTGTTGGTAGGATATAAAAAGAGATAGTTTAGGGGTGGCAAATGTTGGAAGTGTGAACTTCTTGTGCTCAAATTTGGAATCTACATTTGCACTTTTTTCACAAGGGTGAGAGTGACTCCTTGGGGTTATATGATTATTGATTCCTACTTTGTTTCTTTATCCTACCTTTGCTATTTGTTCCCAACTACTTCTTAGGATACTCTCTTAAAGGTTTCTAATATTCAAGTGCCATACTTATCCATGGTATTATTGTTTTTTTAATCACGTGATATTATCAGCGAATTATAATATTAGGTACTTGTTAAAAAAAATAATTAATAAAATTGAATTCTTATTACGCCGTATCATTAAATTTTATATTTGATAAATAACCACTGATAAAAACATAATAACTGATAACCCGTTTATATATTAATTTTAGTGTCTACATGCTATAGTTAATTAGTTGACTTTCATTGTTCAGAGTTACTTTAGCTAGAAAGGGCCTACTTTGCATGTCCATTCTAAAAATAAATAGGATTATTTTCAAAATTAAGGAGTGTAAGTTTTCCCTTTTCATGGAAAGGAAGGGACATAACCCATTAATACTTACAAGTACTTTATATCATAACCAAAAGGAAATATTGTCGCTACATACGTCCATTCGAATGACTTCCAATCAGAAGCCAACCAAAACAAAATCCATCTAGTTAAGCACGTTGAGGAATAATACTATTTCTATAGGAGTTAATAGTCGATTATGCTATGTATATTCCTTTGGGTAATTTCATAAATGGGTTTTGAGATTTATACTCGATCTCACTTTAGTTTTTTATTTTCAAACGCCACACAGATGGTTCTTAAGGTTTTATTTTATTTCAGTTTCGGTTCTTCAATCAATTAAGCGTTAAAATTTGATGAAATCTTTGTAAATTAGAATCCAAAATTAGAAATAGATAATATTTGGGTCTATTTGTTAAAATTAACTTTTAGTTTTTTATATTATTTTAACCTTTAAACTTTATATGTTTCTAATTTTAGTCCATAATTTTTACAGATTCAGTCAAATATTTAATACTAAGCTAATAGAAAGACCGAAATTGAAATAAAATAAAATCTCAGGGACCAACTATGCGGCGTTTAAGATTAACCCAATTCTTTATGTAGTTTCAAAGGAGACTAAGGAAATAAAAAGTTACATTTTGAATGAGTATTGAGTTGTTCAGTCCGCGAACATGTCTTTTTCTTGGTGGGAACTTGAGGGTCGACTTACTATCTTTATCTTCAGAGTAATTTGCCTCATATATGTATACATTAGGAAAATTAACCAAGAAATTACCTAAACTCATTAGTAACATTACTAAAACTGAGCCAATGAAAAGAATTATAGGATCTGTATGATGTTGTTGCACATGCAAGAAACATATAGCAATCACATCACAATGATATATTTGCTATTCCACCTTGTGAGGGTCGACTTACTATCTTTATCTTCAGAGTAATTTGCCTCATATATGTATACATTAGGAAAATTAACCAAGAAATTACCTAAACTCATTAGTAACATTACTAAAAATGAGCCAATGAAAAGAATTATAGGATCTATATGATGTTGTTGCACATGCAAGAAAAATATAGTAATCACATCACAATGATATATTTGCTATTCCACCTTGTGAGGAACACTAATCCATTTAAGCAGAACAAATTGCACTTTTCCAAAGTACTACTTGTCCACGCAAATTATACTGAGTACTTATGATGGGTTTCGGCATATAATTTTTCTCATCATAAGGCTGCAATTATTGAGGGAAGGAAGCCATCATTATTGAAATTTGAAGTAATCATCTAACTAGTTAAATTAAGTGCTTATTCTAAAAAAAATAATAATAATAAATTAGTGCTCTCTCTCTTCCAAAAACAAATTCTCATTTTTTTAACAGAAAAATTAAAAAAAAAATTTGATAATAATAATGTAGGGATCTTGATCGCGGATTTATGAATTTGACTTTTATATATAGATCCGTCGGTCCTTAATATTTTTCACTTAAATTTTGCAATTTTGTCTAGTTGGATTTACATTATTAATTTGCATGTGGCTTTTGTTAATAAAACAATAGACATATCACACCCCCTAAACACTCCTCACATGGCATAACATGATTGGTGACAAAGAAACAAAATTCCCTCATCCAATCCGATCCCTTAATATTCCACATTTATATAACCGATTCATCCAATCCTAGCCCTTCATTGGTTGTTGGGGAAAAAAAAAAAGAAAAAAAACTTCTGCACATTTTCAAACAATCATACTTCCCATACACGCACATATATATATATATATATATATATATATATAACTGTACTCTACCAAGCCCCGATCCAACCGCCAAAACTTCTTTTCTTTCATCAATCTTCTTTTCTTTTTGGATTTCCAAAAATCTTAAACAAAAATGAGACCAAACCCTAGTTGGGTTCTCTTCTCACTTCTTCTCATCATAATTCTCTCTTGCTTTGTGAGTGAAATCCATGGCAGCCAAAAGCAAGCCAAGTCCCTCGTCCATTTGAGCAAGCCCAAGTTGAAGCAAATCTACGGCGTAGACACGAGCCTTTTCGCGGTGAATACTCACGGCGACCACGACGTCGACGACAATGTGGAAGAGAAAAACGGCATTCACGAGGGCTTAAAAGAGAGAGATAGGACCGGAAGATTGCCGGGACAGCCGAGGGTGAATTTCACTCAGTATGGTGGTTATGTCACGGTGGACAAAACGGCAGGTCGTTCGCTTTATTACTATTTTGCTGAGGCTCACTATCACCAAGACTCCTTGCCTCTTCTTCTTTGGCTCAATGGAGGTAACTTCTTATCTTCTTTCTTCCTCCTCTTCTTCTTCTATTCCTCATTGCAATAGTTAGGGCTAATTTTTTTCAATCAATATTAGCTCAATTTTGTTGTTTATTTTATTTGTTACTTATTTATTTTTGTTTCGTTGAGAGAATGTGGGGATGATATATATTATACGCATGTGAAATGAAAAAATCTCAAATCTGACGTGAAATATTCAATGTATCAATAAATTTAATTATTTAATTATTTTTTTTTGGTATTTCTTATGATTGTTTGTATATCTCTCTTTTGTGTCTCATACTCCTTGTTTGGTAAATTAGGCCACGCCTTTGCATAATATAGAGTTGGTGTTTATTTTTTTCTTTCGTAGGTTGGAATTCATAGCTAAAATAATGATTTTCAAAAGACCAATTAATGCAAAGTACGTACTCTCTTAAAAAAAATTTTTTATCGTACTTATAATAAATGACGACTAGTTAGTTTGCGTGTTTTTCTAAAATTCTTTACGCGTTGGCAATGCAAATTATAAGGTTTCCCTGTTTGGCCAACAAGATGTTACCATGCCGAATTTGCTTACCTGGTTTTTTAAATATCCAAATGTATTATATCATATATAGTACAGATATTTTCAATGCAAAAAAAAAAAAAAAAAAAAAAGATATTTTATGAAAGATATTTTAAATTCAAAGCCACTCTTGTGCAAGTTGTCATTTACCAGCGCCTTTTGCGGGTAGGGCTGGGGTGGGGATTCAAATCCCAAACTTTACTCCCTGTTGAGGATTTTACGCCGTGCTCTTTGTAAATATGTTTTTTTTTTTTTTTAAATAATTTGTAGGTTCGAATTATTACAATTATGCAAAGATAATCATGAACTCAGATATAAGTATATGCAAATAAATATAATTAGTTAATTTTTTTTTATCTAATTATGCATGTTATAGATACGCATTTACATTTACGTGCATACCCAACAAAAAGAAAATCAGGAATTAATATCTAGAAGGTGTATTTTTTGTTATTACATGACAACATTAATTATTCGAGGTGTTTTTTCCCTTATAAATTAGGGAAATTAAATGGATGTTTGGTTGAAGGATTCAAACTATGATTTGAATTATGGTTGATGACTCGCTATAGTGTTTTCTCTCACAAAAAATACACGTAAATCGAAAATGATTCTAATCACATGATTCTAATCCATGAACCAAACATCTCCTAACTTGATGCTGAAGTTTACGTGGACTAAAAGATTAAAATATTATTTGCAGTGTATTTATCCACATGCCTCTTTGTTACACCAAATTCCAAAGTCATAAAAAAAGTGTAGAATACCATATACTTGACGCACATTTTTCTTTTGTTTTTATTCTCCGTTTTTTTTTTTTCTTTCTTTCCTAAGTAACCATGTTCACGTGATGATGTTACATAGGACCCGGGTGCTCTTCACTAGCCTATGGAGCAATGCAAGAGTTGGGACCATTCCGCGTCTACAGCGACGGCAAAACTCTCTACACGAACAAATATTCATGGAATTACGGTAACATCTTCGTAAAAATATTGAATTTTATATAATTCTAACGTGATTTGATGATACGTAACTATGCAAACCTACATAGCTACTCAAATATCGACCGATAATAATTCCTCTCCATATATATTTCTATACACTAAAGTGTTTTTTTTTTTTTTCTTTTTATTATTATTTTTTCAGCTGCCAATGTTTTGTTTCTTGAGTCACCAGCTGGGGTGGGGTTTTCATACTCCAATAGATCATCAGATTATGCTGATAGTGGAGACAAGAAAACAGCAGAAGATAATTATCGGTTTTTGGTGAATTGGTTGAAGAGATTTCCTGAATACAAAGGCAGAGATTTCTACATTTCTGGTGAAAGCTATGCTGGGCATTATGTGCCTCAACTTGCACATACCATTCTCCATCACAACAAGAGGGCCAACAAGACAATTATCAATCTCAAAGGAATCCTTGTATGTCCCTTCTCTCTCTCTCTCTCTCTCTCTCTAGTTTTTTTTTTTTTTTTTTTTTTTTTTAATTTTTTTCCCCTTAGAATAAATTATTGAAACTCAAAGAAATCCAGCCACATTCTGTGGTCCCCAAACCCCTAGTAGATCGATCTGTAATATATTTGTCAAATTCTATTTCATAATTGGCCATTGTCATATATTAATAATTAATGGATACGTAATAAGACCTCATATTTTAATTCTATTTATATACAAATGATTTAGTTGAAATGAACTATTTTTTAATCAATTGAAGAACTCAATGGGCGCGTTTGGAACTCGTTCTAAAATGATTTTGTTTTTTTGTATGAAAATGAAAATGGAAACGTTTTCAATCTCAGACAAAAATTAGTTTTAAAAATGTCTTTGGTAGTTTTATTAAAAGATTATTTTCAGTGTAAAAAAATCCATTAATGCCTCTCTTTCTCTCTCTATGCTCGAGAGAAGAGAAAATGAAAATAAAAAATGAAAAATGACTAATAGTCGCTTTTCATTTCTCTCTCATTTTACACTGAACTAAAAAATTATTTTCATTTTTATTTTTTATCTTTATAGCGTCAAACGCCGTTTTGAAAACGTTTTTATTTTTTTTCTCAAAAAACATGAAAAATAAAAAGGGGATCAATTCCACGGCCAATAATATACGGAGAGAATGCTCTCATATGAGTACAAGTGGGTAGGGTAGTGCTAGTTGTAAAGGTTTTGAAAATGGGGCAGCTACATAATATTATTGGTCAGTTTATAAATATTATTCCCACGTCTGGTGGTGCAAAATTGTTCATAATTTGTCATGATAATTTTGCTTTTGGGGTCCTATTTCATTATCATTTTGTTCGTGTCATGATTCCTACGTTTGTTTTTTTTTTTTTTTCCTTTGTCATGAATATTGATGAAGAAAGTTATCTAGTCTTAGTAGGCTTGTACTGGACCTTCTTCTTACAAGCCCATTGTTCACTTCGGATGATTAAAAAAATATTTGCCTTATTTGGAATTGTTATTATTTTTATTTTTTACATTTGAAAAAAAAAAAAATTTTAAAACAGCGTTTGACACAATTAAAGATAAAAAAAAATGAAAATGATTTTTTAGTTTAGTATAAAATAGAAGAGAAATAAAAAATGACTTTTAGTCATTTTTTTATTTTTTATTTTTGTTTTCTCCTCTCTCGAGCAGAGAGAGAGAGAGACATTAATGGTTTTTTTATACTGAAAATAATCTCTTGTTAAAACTACTAAATGCATTGTCAAAAATAATTTCTGTCTGAGATTAAAAGTATTTTTATTTTCATTTTTATATAAAAAATAAAATTATTTTAAAATGAATTCTAAATGCACCCATTGATTTTACTTATCAAAACCAAACAACATTGATGAGATTGATTTGATGAGCACTTTTAGTACTTGGCAAAATTGAAATCTTCTTAACTAAAATAAAGTAGTTGTTAACCTATGTACATTTCTTTTTGTGTTTACCTATTTTTTCTTTGTTTGGGTGCTAGATTGGGAACGCAGTGATTAACGACGAGACCGATGAAAAAGGAATGTATGACTACCTAGCGAATCATGCCTTAATCTCTGATCATGCCGCTAACATAATCCAAAGTCACTGCGATTTCTCGCCTAATGCTACTAAGCAATCTCCGGCGTGCAGCGACGCCGTCGATGAAGCAAACAAGGATCTTTACTACATTGACATCTACAACATTTATGCCCCTTCTTGTGCTTCATCCAACCTCACTGCCAAACCCAAGAAGGCTTCTGTAAGTAAATATTTTTCGATACACATATATATAGCAAACAAAATTCAAATTGTCCTTCTACTGAACATATACATCAATGTAGTCAGGACAAATTAATTTATGTTAATTATTTTATTTTTTTTGGGGGTGCAGTTGAGAAATTTTGACCCGTGCAGTGATTACTATGTTCTTGCATACTTGAATAGAGAAGATGTACAAGCTGCCTTGCATGCCAATGTGACAAAGCTCCCTTATGACTGGGAACCATGCAGTGATGTCCTCAAAAAGTGGAATGATAGTCCCTCCACTATTATTCCTCTCTTACGCGAGTTTATGGCCAAAGGTCTTCGTGTCTGGATTTTTAGGTAAATATATATTATGATCACATATGTATAAATATATACACACGCCTACTAATATTATTATAATCTTCATCACTAATATTAGCAAAAATATTGACTAACATTTATATAATAGATGTGACCTAGCTAGCTAGCTATAACATGGTCACATCATTTGTCACACAAAACAACAATGGCCTAACATATGTACCCTATAGAGGGTGGTGAAAACAGATCATGTGTTCATGTCCTTTCCCTTATCATATATTATTCTAATTTTATTCCATATGTTGGATGAAATGTATGGATGCAGTGGGGATATAGACGGAAGGGTACCAGTAACTTCAACCAAGTACTCCATAGCCAAGATGAACCTTCCTGTGAAGACAGAATGGCATCCTTGGTTCTTTGGTGGAGAGGTATATTTATATTTATATTTATTATATATATCTAGTTTTTTTAATTATTAAATGTCCTTCCCTTTTCACTTTGATTTAGATATTTTTAATGCCCTTAAAGTAAATATTTCTTTATATAATATCATGACGTGAAAGTAACAAAGGAAGCTTCATTATATATAGCTTTTGATATACTATAATTTATAATTAAATGACTTTTTTTTTTTTTTTCCTGTTTTGCTTGTGTAAAAAAAAAAAAAAAAAATGAATATTACAGGTTGGTGGATTTACAGAAGTGTACAAGGGAGACCTAACATTTGCAACAATAAGAGAGGCTGGGCATCAAGTGCCAAGCTACCAGCCTGCCAGAGCTCTCTCACTCGTCAAACACTTCCTTGATGGCACACCCCTCCCAGATACGACTAAATAAAAAAAAAATATATATATATAGTTAATTAATTAGTTTATCCAATAAATTAATTAATCAAGGTTTGTCCAGCGTTTTCTTTGCTTTAATTAATTAGTTTCTAGAAAAGTCTTACAGGGTAGCTCACTTGGCATTCTCTAATGCTAATTTACTTCCATTTCATTGATTAATAAAAGAAATGTTCAGAAATTTGCTTATACTGTTTTATTTTTATTTTTAATACTTTTTTTTTCCCTTTCCTTGGTTATCTGTTCATGGTGAATGAATTATGGACGGGTTCACTGTTTTATAATTGTTAATTTTTAAGTTTGCTTGATATATCTATGAATCAGACCTATTTAATAAAACTGGCATTCAACATAAAACATTACATCGTTGTCGTATACCTGTCTGGAACTATATGACATAAACCATTGTCGTTTTTTCGTTCCACTACTCAATGTTAACACGAAAGTAGGGACCTCTACGATTAAAAAAAACGACAATAAAAAGTCAATTAACAGAAAATGATAATGAAAGTAGTGGAACGAAAAAACGACACCCAAAGCCAAAAGAGTGAGGTTAACGAAAAGCGATGCCAAAAAGTGCCAAGTGGACCGGCTCAAAGCGAAAACGACAATAGCACGTATTCTTCAAAAACCATCAACACAACAACACGACATGAATTATGGTGTCGCCGATGTAGTAATATAAAACGAATGACAACATGAAAAGGAAACTACAATAAATGTAGCAGTCTTGCACCACAGGATACCAATAATCTAATCACATACTAATCCAGCCGCGCTGTCACTTGTCAATACGGGAAAACGACAGAAAACTTCCGCATCATACTACGACATCCATTAGATGAAAACAAGAATAATAAGTAGTACCTTTCAAAAACTTGCAATACAAAAATACTAACTCACTTTTCTCTCTTTATCACTTAATCTCAATTTTTATTTAAATAATAATATATGATAATAATAAAATCCATTTATAAAACAACAAATGCATAAATAATAATAAAAATGACAGAAAAAGTCACACTACCATTTGTCATGCACCGTCGAGGATCATAAACAACACATAATGCGAGTCGCTAATTTAAGGTGAACGACACCACAAGATGAAAACGACAACAAAAATTGAACCGCAGAGACCGACAGACGTATCCTATGTCAATAACCGAAAACGACATCCACTCGCGCCATTTACGGCTAGTTAAAGATTAAAGAAAGTTTTATCGTCGCTGAAGCCAATCTCTCCGACAAATTTTCCTCGCCGCGCTGAGAGCTCGCCGGCGGCGAATGGACCCCACTCCGGCCGGCAACAAGAAGAGGCATGGAGGTCCGACCACAATCCACTCTCTCGAACACGACATCCTCTGTATCGTCTTCTCCTTCCTGGACCTCTTCGACCTCGTCCGCTCCTCCGCCGTCTGCAAATCCTGGTACCTCTTTCTCTCTCTTACTTCTCTCTCTAGAGAAATCGAAGCTCAAAATCGAAAATTTTGGTCGTTGTTATTGAAGGAACGCGATTATCAACAAGTCTAAGCTGCTCCAAGTCTTCTACTTGAAGCAGCGGAGGAAGATGGGTTTCGTGGGTTACTCCGAGAGTTCGGAGAAGTCACTGAATGTTTATTTGGAGGAGATGGCCATGGAGCGTCACCGGTTGGCATTGCGAGAAGGAGAGATTGGTGTGGATCAATGGAAAGGCCATTCTCTCGGGTAAATTTCCTTGATTTTTTATGCAGAATTTTCTGAAATCCATGCTTCTTCAGTATGGAACTTTCCTTTCTTTTTTTTTTTTTTTTTTTTTTTTCCTTTTTTTTTGCTGGGAAAGCTCTGGTTGTGGTTTTACTTTCTCCAATCTTTTTAATCTACATTGTTAAAGGTTTAAACTTTTATTTCTCATGCATTTATAGACTTTCTTGCCTCATGTATGGCTTTTACACTTGATATTGGGCAAATTTTAGATTCAAATTGTAAATATTCGCCGATTTGTTGTATTACATTTTGAAGACATCACGTGTTTTAAATTTTTAATAAACTTGTAGTTTTGGATACTTTCTCCTTTCTGTTAAACCCCTCATTGTCAAAAAGTTAAGAGCTTTGTCAAGTTCTTATGCAATTGAAATCGATGGACTTTTCTTGCGTTTATATTTTCATTTTATAGTTTATACATTTTGCTTACGCGTTTGAAATTTCCCATTAAACATCAGCCACATTGTAGAATATTATTAGCTGTTAAAGTTGTAAAAAATTGCCAATGACAAAGTTGTAGGACTCTACGACAATATTGAGTTGGATGTGCTGTTTTTTTATTAAAAAGCTGTAGGGCTCCACGAGAATATTGGTTCGGATGTAATGTACTTCATGTGTTCTTACATTGATTTCTTTAGGGTGAAGCAGTGCCGAATGAAGATGGGCTTGCTTCTTACTGGTGTTGGTGATAAGGTAATTCTTAATTCAGACATGAGTCACGAGTCGAACATTACGTTTCTGAAAATTTTCATCGACTTATAATCAGTCAGTCTAGCAAGAATTACTTGTCTTTACATGAAAAGGAGAGACTATAATTCTAATGCTGATATGATGAAGATTATCATGTGTAAGTTTCTTATGTAGACGCTTTTTATTTTACTAATCGGCAATCATCTCGGCTCTCCTAAGCTTATCTTTCTTGCACTGTCCTTTCTTCCTTTCTTGCAAAGTAAGGCTGTTTGGTCTTGTTTGCCCTTTCCAAGCCCTCATGGTACCTTCAAATAAAAAGGATTGTTGTTTGACTTCTTCTCTCAATTTAAGATAGTTATTTCTCCGTTTGATAGATTTTTTTTTAATATTTTATTTTTGTACTCAAATCTAGAGCTTTTTACTCGTGAAGTATTCTGCATCAGAAGCTTACTATTTTTTTGCTGGATCTTATGCTAGGTTATGCGGCTTTGGTCGTTAGAGAATTATAATTGTGTAGAAGAATATTCAACACCAGACACAGCCTCTCTAGTTGACTTTGATTTCGATGAGAGCAAGGTAAAAATGACTTGTGTAAACTGCTACCATCACATTCTAGACCGACAGTTCATTTTTATAGCATGCCAATGTTGTTTTGATATTTTGTATAGCGTAGTTAGCTCATTATTGTTGTTGGTAAGCATGGAATTCGCAAATTTAACATTTTTCCTTCTTATATTTGTAACTTTTTTTTTTTTTTTTGAAATATGTACTACAGATTGTTGGATTGCTTGGCACCCGGTTATGTATATGGAGGCGAAGTGGGACAAAAAGTATGTTTCCTTCCCGTGAGGGTACCTTTGCTAAGGGTCTATGCATGCGGTATGCTGCTTGATAGTCCTTTTTATCTTAAATTTGTTGCAATTGCTTAGTTTGTCACGTTGTCAGCATGATTAAAACGAATAACATAAAGCTGGAATTAGGAAACAGTGAACGAGACAAATTGCAATCTGTTTTGCGTATTAACCTGGGAACCATGCATTGTATTGGACTGACCTTCTATGATTAATTGTTTTGACCATATCCTTAGTCCCATCCAAACAAATACGTTCTGGCTTAATTTAGTGATGTTAACTTTAACTGTCAATTCTTTTCTGTTCATAGTTACTTTGATCCAGAGGCTGTGGTTGGGTGTGAAGATGGAACTGCTCGTGTATTTGACATGTACAGTAAGAGTTGTTCTCGGATAATTAGGTAGGCAGAAAAGAAATTTTCTAATTTGGATTCTGTGCTCTCTTACTTTTGCCAGATTACCATCAAATTTTAGCTGCCAAGCATATATTGATTATATATGATGTTCTGAATTTGCTTTGTTTTCTTGCGATGCGAATTGCTATGTTGTATCACTAAATAAAAATGTTATGCTTCTGATCAACCATCTTTCCTCTGGTTTATTTTGCAACTTAGCACGGAGGTTTCTATTGAAGGGAACGGTTCTCTTCTTCTTAAACAGCTCTTTGAAAAGGGACATGGTTTTCATCAATCAAGTTTATGTGATTCTACTTTTCTTTTTGCAGGATGCATGATGGGCCATTATCATGCTTAGATTTGAGAGATGATCAATTGATAATCAGCGGTTCCTCTCTCGGTAGCGTCTCCATATCAGGTCTCTTATCTGATCAGCGGATAGCGAAGCTAAGATCAAGAAATTCCACAGGTTAGATAGTCTTCCTACCATCTTAGGGATGTTATGCTTCTTTCGAAATATTACTTGGTTTCACACAATATATAAATCGAGTAATGCGGGATCTTTGCTCAAGATACAAAGCATAGCTTTAATTTCGTACTTTCCCCCAGACTTGAGGGCTTTGTCTTTTAACCCATGCTCTCACCTGGTGTTTGCTGGATCAACTTCTGGTTATACAACTTGTTGGGACCTTAGGTATGTACTGTGATAGATGCTCTAGATAATATGTCATATTAAACAGTCGGTATCTTTGAATTCATAATCCACTTTCTCTGTTACATCTTATAGGACAATGAGAATTTTGTGGGACAAACGAGTAAGCCCGAATGTCATATATTCCTTGCAACATCTGGGAAATGACAGGTCGACTTTAGTTGTTGGAGGAATAGATGGTGTGGTACGTCTTATAAACCAGAACACAGGTGAAATTCTTTCCAGCATAGTCTTGGAAGGCAAAATGTTATCTGGCTCTCGGGGCAATTATGGAGTCGTTGAGAGAGCGAAAGGGAGAAGGCTTGCGGAAGATACCCACATCGACAGTATTCCTAGAAGCGATCGACCTCCCATTACTTGCTTGGCTGTTGGGATGAAGAAGATAGTGACCACACACAACAGCAAGTACATCAGAATGTGGAAATTCAGAAACTGAGATACAATTCTTCATGTGTGCTTAATATGGCGTTTACTTTTTTTTTTCCTGTTTGTTTTGAACTTTAGATTTAGTTGATTTTACTTTGTTGATGAATGATTTGTTGAAGTTCAAGAGTGTAGATCTGATAAGTACATTGATTCTATGTTGTCTTCTTGATATCGTTAATCTTCTTGTAGTTCCTACTTAATTAAATGGAGCAAATTTTAGAATGAGGAAAAGTTAGGAAAATCAAGAGGTAGAAGCACTTCCATTGGAAAGAGGCTGAAGTCGGTGTCGTTTTAAAATTTTGTTTTTGAGATTGTTCTTTGGTCACGAGCATAGTTGTTTTTTCAATTTCTTTCGTTTTAAATATGTTCTCATTTACAAGTTACTGTTTTCAATTGTAATTGTTGTAGTTTTTTAAAAAAATCATGTAGTTTATGAATGCTCATGTCGTTTGTATTTTACTGTCGTTTGTTAGAGATGTCGTTATTTTTTGAATGTTGTCTTTAATAAACATTTTCCTCTTAAAACTGCTGTCGTGGTTTGTCATTATTTTTCATTTTTAGAATCAGTGTCGTTTCCCTAGACTCGTTGCTCTATTTTAATGTCGTTTCGAGATATGCACCTTTTTTTTCAGATTGTAGCATTTCAAAATTAGTTTTATTTTCGAGATATGTCTTCTATTATTTGATGTTGTCGTTTTTTCAAATTATTGCTTAGATTAACGTCGTTTTGTCGTTGTTAAAAGACGTTGTCGTTTTGAACAGTCATTGCATGGCAATGTGGGCCTTCTGTTGGGTCATGAAGCCCAATCAAACCTGCTTAATATGCCTTCGCCTTCAAGATCTATGTTATTGTCGTTTTCAAAATCTGTATCGTTTCCAAGACTGATGACACTCTATTGCATGTTGTTTTCGAGACTGTATCAGTTCTTCCTACTGCTGCCTTTTAATATCAAATCAATTGTCCTCTTTAAAATGCTGTCGTTTATATGTTATTGTCAGTTGATTTGTAATTAATTAATGTTGTCGTCCCATTACTGTCGTTTTCTAGAATAATATCGTTTCAATTCTATTGTCGTTTGTTGGACAAGCCATCGTTTTTCATATTTTGCTGTGTTAGCACTTGATGTTGTCGTTTCGGACTCAGTACAAACTTTTTGTCGTTTATTTATTACTAATGTTCTTCAAGCTCAATCAAACCCATTTGCAGAGCCAAACCCATTAGAAAGCCCATTTATCAAATCCAATTAGCCCTTACTTCGTCCTCTCCTCTCTCTCTCTCTCTCTCTCTCCGATCTCTTCTTCTTCAACCTCACAACCAAAATCAAATCCGACCCATATATCCTCAATCACAAACCCTAGAACCAGAGAAACCCTATAAGCTCCGATCATCCCCAACCAAAACCAGCCATGGTGTGCATACGCAAGGCGACGATCGACGACCTTCTGGCGATGCAAGCATGCAATCTGTTCTGCCTCCCGGAGAACTACCAGATGAAGTACTACCTCTACCACATCCTCTCATGGCCGCAGCTCCTCTACGTCGCCGAGGACTACAACGGCCGCATCGTCGGCTACGTCCTCGCCAAGATGGAAGAGGAGAGCAACGAGTGCCACGGCCACATCACCTCCCTCGCCGTCCTCCGCACCCACCGCAAGCTCGGCCTCGCCACCAAGCTCATGAGCGCCGCCCAGAACGCCATGGAACAGGTTTTCGGCGCCGAGTATGTCTCTCTCCATGTCCGCAAGAGCAACAGAGCCGCTTTCAATCTCTACACCGAAACCCTAGGGTACAAGATTCATGATGTCGAGGCTAAGTACTACGCCGATGGAGAAGACGCCTACGACATGAGGAAGGAGTTGAAAGGGAAGAAGAGCCATGGCCATGGACATGGAGGTCATGGTCATGGTCATGGACAGGGACATGGACATCATCACCATCATCACCATGAGCATGGCGGCGGCTGCTGCTCCGGCGAAGCCAAAGGGGTTACTGCCAAGGCGGATTCTAAATAATCCGGCTGAGGAAGAAATGGAGGAAGGAGACAATTGTCGGTAGAAAAAAAAAAGCTGAATTTTTCATTTTTCCCTTCCTTATTTATTACCGGATTGTGGTGTTTTGTTAACTGAATAATGCCCTTTTGGGATTGGGGAATTTACAGTCGAGTTTTTTTATGTAGAATTACTGAAGTATGAATATACCCTTTGTGTTCCTAATGTTTTTGGGTCATTTTGCCAAAAGGTTTATATGTGATTTCAAGTACTGTTTTTGGTCTTTCTTGAGCTAGAATCTGATTTCAGTCTTGGACTGTTTTATGGTAGAATAGCTATAGGATCGTGACTTAATGATATATGCACCCTTTGTTTTTCAACTATATTTGTATCAGTACCCTTCTCTCTCTCTCTCTGTTTTTTTTTTTTTTTTTTTTTTCCGCTTGAGCTAGAATTGGTTCTTCTATCGAGTGTGTATCTACCAATTCATAATGCACTGTAATTGGACATAAGGAAGGGAATCAAACACTCGGTCCAAGTGTATACGTGCCCATTAGGTGAAATTGGATTGTTATTTTAGCAATTATATTTATGAATGAAAAAAAATGGGAAACATTCCTTTCATTGTTATTTTGGGAGTTTTGTTCTTTAGCATGGGCTATATGATCATGTCTTGTTGTTCATCGACTTACTATACTATCCTTGATTGGTGTGTTATAGAGCTTTGGATGCGCATTTGGAAATGGCAGTTTGGTGAGCAGTTGGGAATTTGGATATTGACTTGATGTAGTCTAGCAATATAGAAGATTTAGTATTTTGTTGATATGAGTTGATACTTGATAATCATAGTTAGGCTATTAGTATTTAGGTTATAATAGCTATTTCACCACTCGCAACCTTTGGTTTGCTCACATTGCTCTCTTAAATTTTTTTTTTCCTGGTATATCCAATCTAAGGGTTGAATCTTGTTTTTCTTTTAATATTGTTTTGCAAGGAAACCGATGTACTTCAAATTAGAGATCATCGCGCTTTGTTGAGTTTTAGTTGCTACAGTTTTTTCTCTTACATAAAAGAGTGAGTTGGGATTTGAGTTGTGAAAAGAACACTCTGAAAGTTTTGGTATTTATGAAAGGCGTATGCTAGGGATAAGTGAGGTATTGATTTTCTTCAGCCTTTGCTGAATTGAGCAACTGAGTTACAGACCTGAGTTTTTCCACTTTTGAATATACTCCAGGTTTAGTATAGTCGTATTGAATTTGACCAGTTAATGATCTTGCTTGGTTATGTTTAATCTAACCATAAAGCTATGGCGATTCTCCTGTGTCCTAGGTCATCCTATGTCATGTTACGCATTTTTTTTCTTTTTGGTTTATAATTGCTCCGGTTAATGCTTGGTTTTTCATTTGATTGTCATTTATTTGATGATGTGTCGTTTCCGTAGTTGGTGTTGTTTCGAGTTGATGTTATTTTTGAGTTTTGCTCGGATTTTGGTTATTATAATATCGTTTCCGATGATATTGTTCTTTATACCAATTTATGTTTGTGTTTATAGGTGTATTGCCGTTCTCATGCAGTCGTGGTAGGGTTATGTTTTCGTATCACTGTTGTTTCTTCAATTCGTATTGTTTACAAATTACAACCGTGTTGCACTTTGTGTAGGCTATAGGGTGGTTTGTTGCCGTTTTTCGTGGCAGTAGTCGTATTACTTTTTTTTTTTTTTTTTGCACTGGTAGTCTTATTACTCTGTGGTCGATGTTGATCAATGATTTTGTTTGTTTTTAGGTTTTTGTCGTTTTTCAAGTTAATGTCGCTTTTGCAATCTCTATTAATCGCTGTTGTATTTTATGTAATGTCGCTGTTGTAGTTATTTTTTATTATCATTGTTTTCTATCTTGCTGCTCCGCTTTTATTTGTTGTTGTTTCTAAAGTTCACTGTCGTTTATATTTCTTATTGGAATATTGTCGTTCTCTAAGGCTTTGTCGTTTTTCTGTCCTTTTTCGATGGAACAATAAAATCAAAATTCAGTCATTTCCGTTCATGGATTCTTACGGTTTGCTATGAAATATGAATCATAACTTATGATTATGAAGTCGCTTTTACGATATCCTTAATGTCGGGCTTTTTTATTTGTTTATGATTTTAATGTTGTTTCTTTTTTATTGTGGTTTCTATGGTTTTGTCGTTTCTGGCCTTTTTTGTTGAACAATTATATCAAGGGTTAAGTACAAAAATTCTCTTTAAATTATACTCGGCGTAACACTTTGCTTTATGACCTTTAAAACTTAACTTCATTCTCCCTAAATAATGAAATATTAACAAAAAATACCACCATTTATTATGTTTTTAACTGAAATTGACATCTAATTTGTTATTTTGAGAGTATTTTGATAATTTTATGGTTTAAAATTTAATTTGAATTGAAACTAATTTAAATATTAGAAAAAAAAACTTCATAAATTTTTTTATTCTACCAAAAAAATTCATTAAAATTTTAACTTACATTCAATCAATAATGGATATATCATAATTAAAATTTTAAAATTTAAATTAATTTTAAATTCAAACTAAATTTTAACACATAAAACTACTAAAATAGTTAATTTTTGTTAAAAAAATATGATGGGGGGAGCTCTTTTGTTTATATCTCATTATTCAGGAGAAAATATGTAACGTTTTAAAGATTAAGGGGTTCAGTTATTACAAGAGGTATAATTCAGGGAGAATTTTTATAATTCATCATTTATACCAAAATTGAGTTATTTCCGCTCATGAAATCTTGTTGTTTAATGTTGCTTTTTTTTTTTTTAAATTTGATTATGATTTTAATGTCGTTAAATTACTTATTGTCATTTCTTAGGTTTTGTCATTTTCTGGCGCTTTTGGTTGACCAATAATATCAAAATTGAGTTATTTCCGTTTATGAGATTCTTAATGGTTACTATGCTATTTCCGTTTATGAGATTCTTAATGGTTACTATGATTATGAAGTCGCTTCTACCATGTCCTTAATGTCGTTTCCTTTTTATCATCGTTTCTATGTTTTATTGTCGTTTTGACAGCTAATATTGTTTTTGAGCGTTCTTACTCGTATCTTTTGCGATCATTGGTACTGCTCTTAGATTTTGAGGTATCTCACTAGTTTTATATCTACGTTTTAAACTATAGGTATTTGGTTGCGGTGTTTTACTTGGGAATTATAAAATTGTAATTCTTGTACTAAATTTGAGAATATGCAAGCTCCATTCCCACCTTAGAGATTAAGATTACTGTATACTAAATGCTTCCAAAACGATTAATTTAGATGATTTTAGAATCGTTAAAATTTGTTTATGTTAAGATCTCGTTTAACATACAAGTTCATATCGTAATTTTAATTATGACTTTTAAAATTTAAAATTTTTTAAGAAAAAAACACTGTAACATAACTCATGTACCAAACAAATACCAAGTCGTTGAATCTGCTTTTTCTCCTCGTACCTTCGTGCATTAATAGTTGAGTCCAGTTATCTAGCAACCAAAAATATATTCTCATCTTATCTACAGAAGTAGTGAATATTTGGCTTCTATCCCAGAAGCTTCTCATATCCAAATTACCTAACCACGTGGGCCCATACAGCGTGAAAACTCATTCCTATTGGATTCTAAGATGTTCTTCAAGTCTCTGGAATATATATATATATACCAAACGTTGTAATCATGCCAAGAATAATAATCAATAAATTGAAAAACTTTGTTGGTGGGTGTCATTGTCGATCTTATTCCCACTTTTAAATATTATTGACAAAGGCAATGAAACTTTACATATAAACCAATCAGAAGTGGTTCTATGGGACCTATTGTCAATCACAATTTCAGTAAAATTGTATTAAAACACATTCATTTAGCATTTTGCTTGTGATTTAATGGAGTTGGATTAGAAAGGCATTAATGAAGTGAAGTTGGACAAGACCCCCCACTAATTGGAACAAAAGCTTACCAATAAATGAAGCCTATAAAAGTGATTTTCAACTTTGGATGGATACAATCCAACAATTTTGTTGGAATATGGAGTCAGATTTTTTTTTAATTTTTTTGGCGTATGTTGGTATAATTAAGAGTGGGATTTTGCATGACAAGTAAACACGTATAAAGCTACTAACACAAAGTTATAGTATAATTTCTTCCCCATATAACTTTAAGCATGTCTTAAGAGTAATTCGTCACAAATTTTTAATAATGTCATTTGAGTTGCAGAATCCTCCTTCTATATATATATATATATCACACACACACATACATACACTGCTAGTCGATTCCTTTTTGTTTTTTTTAAGCTCCATTTTCACAAGAGCTTTCGATTGAAACCAAAATATCAAAAGTAGAGGGCAGGTGGCACGTGATCACTCTTTGTCCAATCATTCAATTTTTGACTACCTTGATTGATATGCATTTGCAATGTAATTGAAAAAAAAAAAAAGCATGAATTTTTAAGGATTAATTTCATAAATACCTTTAAATTATTTACTTGTTTTAAAATACTATTAATGTTTTAAAACCGTTTAAAACAATTTCTGATTTATAAAAGATCACTCAAAATTCTCTTTCTATTTTCGTTTATCATTCTTTAACAGATTGTTGTGTGACACTCAAATTAAAATATTAAAACTAAGTTTAAAATAATTAATTATTAAAAGTTAATAAAGAAACTCATAATCTAATTACTAAAAGATAAATAAAAAAAAAGTTATTTCCCTTGGGCCTTGTTCCCCTATTTTCTCACAATTCACAATCCCACAGCAACTCTCTCTGATCTCTCTCTAAGATCTTGTTCAAGATCAACCAGAAACTCTATAATGAATTTCATGTTCAGCTAATTTGATTTTGATTCCTTTTGCTTTGTTCTGGAAAATCGGGGGATGAATTTCATAGCCAGAGTTATGGGCTCGATGGGACAATTGCAACTGACGGTGACGGTGACAGTGAGGATGACAATTGCGATTTCTGAGCCCAACACGGCGGCTAGCTATGGACTTTGTTGGGTGTGGATCTACCATGAGTGGTGCGGATCTAACAGAGGGAAATGGTGGTGCAAATCTAGGTTCTGATGTTAAGTTTTATTTTTTTTATTATTTTGTTAAGAAAAATCCTTCTAGTGATGGTATTCTGATCACCATAGCCTATAAACCAAATTCATGTTCGTGGTTGATTTTGGGTTTGCGAATCTTCTTGTCCTTGTTCTTGCACTGGGAATTGCTTTGAATGTGAAGATCATCCTCATAGCTTTTTTTTAGTAATTTGAGAGTGATAGAACAAAGTGGGAGACATAGAGAGATGGCAACCATCCATTTTTTTAAGGAATCAAGCTGATATGTTTTTCTAATTTTTATTTTGTATGTTTTTAATTACTCTTTTAATTTTATCTGATTTGTGTGATTTTATATTAAAGTTAATAGGTTAATAGGTTTTTTCATTACTAATTAAATTTTATCTTTTAAAACGTATTTCTCACACCATTAATGACATGTCACCTCAATTATCGGTTAAGGTTATAGACGGAACTTGATGGTAGAGATAATTTTATCTATTTTTTATACATCAAATAGTGCTTTAAATCGTTTTGAAAAATTAGAGGATATTTTGAACCATAACATAATTTAGGGGTATTTATGAAAATTATTCTATTTTTAATTGAAAGAACTTTGAACAAAACACATTCAAAATTATGATAGGATTGTTAAAGTGGAGCAACATTAAAGTAGAAACTTTCCATGACATTTAAAGATTATAAACTCACAACTAGTCCCAAATATAATGCTTCTAGAATAATTTATCATGATTTTGCGTCTGTCAAATTAGTTCTACAACATCTTAAGCCTCGTTCATTTTATTTATTTAAATTTTTAATTTAAATTGATATGTGATTTTATATGAGAATTTTTTACTGTAGAGAAAAAGTTAGATATGACTTTTTGTGAAAACTTTTTACAGTAACAAAATTAAAATTGAAAATCCGAATTAGTGAAATGAACACGCCTTTAAATATTTCATTTTATGTTCTGTAAGATAAAGACATACCCCTAAAGAAAGTGATTACGTATTGATATTAAATGTAGATACATATATTCAATTGTGTCAAAAAAAAAATACATACATTCACTCCCGTCACGTCTGTGGAAGGGTACAACTTTATTATTAGTTTAGTCCATAAGAAATTTGAACATTAAAAATAGATTGAAAAGCACCAAATGAAGGTAGTCTTATAATTTAATCACTGCCACTAGGCTGCAAACACAATGATCTAATCCCACCTAAGAAACACATTATCAGTTAAGTGATTATTTAAACAAAAAAGAACAAAGAATAACACCTCATGGAGATTCTTCCAAGATCACATGGAATTAAATAATCAAATAATTACAGAAAATAATTGGTTTGGTGGGTCTTATTGAGCTAAAGGCAAAAAAATAAATAATGGTAGGACTTTTCAGCATGGAATATGCTAAAAATATGAGGATATAATAATTATAGGGGTAGACCAAAATACCCTTTACTTTTTCATATCCTTGTTGAGTGGAGTCTCACTTGGTTCTCATATCCTTCCAAAGCCACACCCCACTTTTTGGTTCAACTTCCTCAAACTCAAAATTCAAACAATACTATTACAAGCATTGTTCAATAATTTCAACTTGATTCTCAGTTCCTTGGTTGACCCCTTTATGAGTTTTGATCCCCATTTTGGGAGTGACCATCATGATGTGGTACAAATTTAGAAAAAGCATATTGGTCAAGCTAAAAGAGCGCCTAATACCTGTACAAAATTTTCATGCGTCACATGGAATGATCACAGCGTTGGTTGGTTACCGGTGGTGATAAAGTAGCATTGTTGATCACCTCTTAAATCATGTGTGTTGGGTTGTTGAGAATTGATGCGGTACTCGAGGCGTCCGGACAACCACATCACGGCCGGATTTCATTAAGCTGAGATGATCCTTGATTGTTTTGTCAAATAGCCTGTTTTCTGGATTCTCAGCATAGCAAACATAGTAGCAGCTCACACAGGCATGAGGCACTGCCATGGCAATCCTTGTCTGAATATGCATTAAAAAGATGAAGTCCTCACTCAGATTTCCAATCAAGACTATATTAAAAAGAAAGGGAAAATCATAAATTTCTCCTTTGAGTTTAAGTAGAATTTGATATTCAACCTTATATTCTTAAGAATTACAAAAATGTTCTTTCAGATGGTTAATCCCTTTAAAACCCCTCCCTTTTTAACTTTTTCTTCACAGGTCTTTCTAACCTTATTTGAAGGCAATCTTCATGTTTAATTGTAACCAAATCTGGTATTGGGGTGGAAATTGTAGGAGATTGACAATATGAGGGCCTACTTTTGTAATTTATAAGAATATAAGGTTGAACATTAGATTTTACTTTAATCCAGAAGAGGATTATGTAATTTTCCCATCAAGATATGTAAGTTGATCACGTGATTTGAGTGCAGAAGAGATAAATATAATATAAGAAAAAGCTGGTCAAATAAGGGCTACCAACCATAAGGTATCCTATGAAGAACACAAGGAGTGAAATGGTTGCTGTGAAACTTTGGTGCACTTTATAAGTCCAAGCAGCAGCCATAATCACGCAAACGGAGCCGCTGCAGACTCCGGTGAGGAAGCAGAGCGAGCTGGTCATGTCAGAGTCGACAACAGGCTCAATTTCTTGCCCTTCGAAGAGTCCCCACGTGTCTTGAGAGGCCCTCACAAAACCTTTCCCATATGCAGCTATCTGGTTCACAAGATAACTCTATTAAAGTTGAAGTATTCACTATGACTAATGCAGTGTATAAAAGTACAAGATTGATACTAAAAATGGGATTTGTATTTTATGTTATGTGTAGCATAATTAGTATATAAGTCAAAGATAAGAACTTGATAACAAGATTATTCAAGAAAGTATTAGATGGACTTAAATATTTAGTGGAAAAATGTTTGGTGGTCAGTATTATAGCATTATGCCTGGCTGCTTCAAAGCATTCCAGAAACTAAGAGGGCTCACAATTACATCACAATTGAGAATGACATGATTTTAAACCTAAAGAAAATAGGTAATACACTTTTGACAAAGAAGTTGCATCTAATACGTGATTTGAATATGAAACTTTTTGTCAAGAAGAAAACATTCTTCTGGTAAAAAAAATCAAAAGTACTAGATAAAAAAGTACCTGTACAAAGGCCCAGCCATTGCCATATCTGAAGATGGACTCCATGACTCTGAGACAGCAATGTGCACAAGAGAACATGAACTCATCTTCTCCTTCGAGTAAATTCAAAGCCCGAGCCACAATTCGAAGAGCTTCGATTGCAGGCACGAAGAGAGACCCGAGGCAAGCACTTCCAAGATTCTTAGTCAAGGCTCTCTGGAAGCAGAACTGAGTATTGGATTGCATTCCTCTAAGATAATACAAGGCAATCACCCTACTAACTGTTATATTCGCGACATTCCTCATCACCTCAGCAGTCCAAGCCAAGCTCAACACTAATAGGATTGTGACCAGTGGAGAGAAGTAGAAATTCAGTGCCCCAATCACTGCCAAAATCCACATAGACATCCACAAAAATCCAACCGCAAGCATTATGTAAATGGGCTTGTTCAGATCAGGGAATTTCGACACGGGCTCAAGAGATTTGACCAAAATCTTGCTGCAAAACCCGATTCTCTGAGAAACCGAGCAGGCATATAAGCCATTGCCTATTGCAAAGACAATGAAGCAGGCTCCAACACCATCAGTGGGGGCCTTCTGGAAGCAAATTAAGAGGATCCCGGCGGTTAAGGACATGAGAAAAGTGCACCAAAGTATGAAAGAAACCATGAATTTAGGCCATTCTCTGACTGCTTTTTGCCATACAAATGCAAGTGTAATGCCCAAAAGAGATGCAGCTTCTACTTGTGGGAGGAAATATTTCAACACTCTTTTCTCTTTTCTTTTGACACTTTCTGATGCTATTAAAAGCCCTTGAATTCCCTTGAATATAAGAAAGCCAACTAGCCCAATTGCCGCCACCATGTGCAGAAGGAAAAGAAAGAGAGATATCTTGTTTGTGTATGCTCTTGAATTTAGTGTTGTTATAGATGGCTGGTCAGAAAACAGAAAAATATATAAAAAAAATAAAAAATATCAGAAAAAATAAGTATATGACTGTTATGAGAGAGAACTTTGTCCTAGAAAAAAAAACCCCCAGAAAATCAATATCTCTATATCTTTGATTTCTTTGCACCATTTGGAAATTAGGGGTCAGAACTCAGAAGAAACTTTTTCAAAACAATAATTTCCTGGCCCCAAAAAAGGGAAAGAATAAAAAATCACTTGACATGAAAAAGTAACTCTAAAAAATGATCAAATCCAATACATCTTTTCACAATCTGTGAAGAACTTTAAAGAGATTAAAGGCATGACTTTCAAAACTTAACAAGATTAAGCTCATAAGATAGCTCTCCTTCTGCTTAATCTCTCGTAACAAAAATCAAAAAAGAAAAAAAAAATTGAGATTGAAATTTACTTGAGGGGTTGGTGTAGAACGAGGCTGAGAGGGATGAGAGAACTGAGAAGGAGAAGGACGAGGCTGAGAGGGGTGAGAGAACTGAGAAGGAGAAGGAGTTGCGACTCTGGTCCCACCATTAATGACAAGCCTCAAAGGGTTGGTCGGATTCAGCCTCTGCAACATGGACATGTTGAATTCTTCTGCTTCAACTTTCTTCTCATCATTTTCATTTTCCTTCTTCGCTTCCAAACCCACTCCACCTTTCTCAACATCTCTCACTTCTTCTTTCTTCTCATTTTCTCTCTCAACTCCTCCTCCATCTTCCTCTCTCTCCACCACCACCACCACCTGCAAAAACAAAAGAAGTTTCAAACTTTTGAAGAACATGAAAAAAGTGAAGAACAAAAAACCCAATAAAAATCAAAACTTTTTTGAAGTTTTTTCTTTGAAATTATCTTACAGGCACTGAGGAGGCACCCATATTGCCTTTTTTTTTTTTTTTTGGTGTGTTTGTAACGTTGTTGGGTTTTTGAAGTACGTTTCTTTCTTTCAATCTAAAGGGAGGCTGTAAACTAGAGATGACGTTGTAATTGGGAAAGATGTTTCCACCCAACCTTATGGTCGTCATAGTGTATCACCAGAATATGCGTGGGACCCACTTGGTTTAAAACACACTCTCTACCAAGGCGCGTGGGTATACGCACCGATCGGGTGGGAGTTTTTGTTATCAGTGCAGCGTGGGATGAAAAGCACGTGGGAATAGTGGTAATGTAAGAGTGTGAGAGGGTGCATGGTAATTAAGGAGAGGATTAGGGTAGGGGCTAGGCTAGGCTGGATGTATCTCAATGCAGACACATGTCATGTAAACTTTTTTTGTTTTTGGAGCTTTTTGACTTTTTTTTTTTAAATTTATTTTGTGCCAACGAACGACCACGTAGTAATAATACGAGTGTTTTTAAAAATGATGAGTCCGTTTGGTTCATGAATTAAAATCATATAATTAAAATTATTTTTAATTTATGTGTATTTTTTATAAAAAAAAATACTGTAACGAATCATAAATTATAATTTGAATCAGGGAACGAAATTCCTCTATTAAACATCACCTAAATAGTTGAGGTATTGACTTTGTGTAGAAGAAAGAAATGGACAAAGAAAAAAAAGATGCACATAATAAGAGTGACGTTAAGTTATCCCACCTTATCTTCTTTGAATATATATATATATATATAT